ATTTTGCTTCCCTTTCCACCCTTCTTCCTGATTTTTCCACTCTACTTTTTCCATCACAGCTTCTAGCTTTACAGGAGAAACTCAGTTCTGTGTCTTGATGCAGGACCTTGGTTTTTTCCCCTTCCAGTTCTTAAACCCAAAGCCACAGAGCTCAGAAGCAGCAAACCCACGAGTGCCTTGCCCCATCATCTTTGTTGCCAGCTTCTCTCCTCCTCTGTATTTCCCTTCTTTCTCTGACCCCAGATTTGCATAGGAAAAGGGTTCTGACTCATTGCTTGGCCTGGGAGGTTTGTGGTTAAAGAATTAGCTCTTTTGTCATGCTGTTGAAGCAGAACCCTGTGATTTATTTTAAAAAATGTTCTAAAAAATGGATGATGTTATTATAAAACTTTTGCTGCCAGTGTTGATCTTAACAGAGATGATGAGGGCTCTAAGATGATAGTACTTGTTGAGAATCTCCAAGTTCAGAAAGCTCAGTTCAGCTGGGAAGTAGCTTCTGCTTGTAGACACAAAGGCTGCAAAGGACCAACCCTCTTCATTATGCTCTTAGGACATGAAATAAGGGCAACAATAATTGCATGGGGAAGGTTTCTAAATCTAAACCTTTTTTTAAAAGATGTAGTTAGGGGCTGGAGAGATGGCTCAGTGGTCTAAAGCACCTACTTGAAACAAGCTTGGCAAAGCACAGGGACCGCGGTTCGATCCCCAGCACCACATGCCAGCCAGACCCGCCCCCTGGTGGGCTGAGCTGGCCACACACACACACAATAAATAAATGTAATAAATAAAAATAAATAAATATTTAAAAAAAAAAAGATGTAGTTAGGACAGGGGGGAACAGGGTCTACAGAATCTCACTACATATTGGACTCATAGTGATTCTCCTGTTTTCAGCCTCCCAAGCACTGGAATTACAGGCACGTGCCACCATGCCCAGTCTCAATCACCGGCTCAGTGAGCCACAGGGGCAGGGCTGGCACAATGCACAGGGCATTGAACCCCAGCCACTGTGCTCTGCGTAAGCAGGTGCTTTAGTCCGCTGAGCTATCTGGCCAGCCTAAACCTTCTTTTGAGATACCAAGTTTGGCAATTTTATCAAGCAGCATGCAGGCAGAGTTTAGAGTCCTAGAAATAAATGGATTCTGAATAAAGGACATTTCCTGTTCAGGCTGACTCAAAGTCGTAGGGCATCGGTGACCTTGGAGCTGGATCAACCCCAGCCCTTGTCTACATGGGTTTAGATGTTAAGTCCCCAGGGGCTTGTCACTATTGATGAAGTCCACAAGCCTGCCTGTGAGTCATTTCCTCGTTAATAAATCAGAGCTGATTCATATGTACTTTCATTCCCCTGAAAGTTGAAATGACTCTCTCCTAAGAGAAGGAGGTGACCAATAGTAGGAACTGCGTTGGAGCCTGACTCCCTGGGAGTTCACCTCCTTGTGAATGTGTTGGTGGCAGTGGTGTGTGTGTGGGGGTGCTGTATTCTCAGCACTGTGGGAAGCTGAAACACGGGGATCAAAAGTTCAAGCTGGGGGGGGGCAACCTAGTCAGACTGTATCTCAAAATAAAAGTAAAAAATAAAGACGAGGGCTGTATCTCAATACAAAACTCCATTCAATCTTCAGTACCACCAAAACCAAAACAAAGAACACTTGTGTTTGAGAACAGCTAGGGAGCTAATGAAAGCCAAATTAAGTTAGAGTAAGTTCCTAAGGCAAAATAAACTCAAAATTTCTTAGTTTTTTCTTGATTTAGAAGACCTTGAGGGGCTGGGGAGATGACTCAGTGGAATAAACACTTCCCAGGCAAGTGCAAGGGCCTGAGTTCAATCCCCAGTTCCGCCAAAAAATAAATAAAAATGGAAGATCTTGAACCCAAAGCTCAGAAAGCTGGGGTACAGCTACTGTGGGTACCATCAAATATTATTATTATGCTTTTTGTTTTTGTGATACCAGGGGTTGAATTCAAGACCTTGTGCTGCCAGGCAGGTGCTTAAGCCACTGAGCTATCTCCCTGATCCTTATCCAATATTTTGAAAGCTTAAATTGGCATTTAAACAATTCTGACTGGGAAATGTATATTTTAAAATTAAAAATTTCAACATTACATTAGTATTATGTTAGAATGGGACCAGGACTAGAGTATACATCTTTCCTTTTTAGGGTTCTGCCAGATCGAGACAAATGTTAAAAATAAGCAAAAAAAAAAAAAAAAAAAAGTAGAAATTTAATTTACTTAAAAATAAACCTCTGTAATCATCCTCTGTAGTTAACCACCTCCAGAAACTGCAGTGTTTCACCCCAAAAGTGAACAACCAGTTTTAAACAATCTGTGTTCAGTATATTGTGAAAATATGCTGCTGGTAGCTATTGTTATTCTCTGATACAAATTAAACTTTATCAGAAGTTTCATATGTATGAGAAAACCTACTGTTTGTAGTCTCCGCTATCAGGAGAGCCTTCAGTATCCCCTGGGGTGCTGGAATGCACCCCCTGCGATGAGGGCCACCTGTAATTTAGGGTGAAAGAGTTCATCAGCTGTGGCAAAGGCACTGTCTCCCCACAGCCCCACCATCGAGTTGACAAGGGTCCAGGCATCTTTGCAATTTGCTCCTGCCTTTGTCCTTGCAAGGAACACAGTTGGGAGTCACAAAAATCTGACTCAGTGTATTCCTTGGGCGTTTGTGTGGGGGAAAGGCTTTCTCTGTCGGATACTTGCAAAATTTTTTGAAATTTTAGAAAGTCATGAGGATATGACTAGGTGCTGCTTTCTTCTCGTAACATTTTAAAGGTGCTCTGTGAGCCTTCTTCCTTTGCAGGCCTACTTCATTCTTCATTTCTGGAAAGTGTTCTTCAGTTAGCTCCATAATTATTGTTCTGGCTTCATTTGCTCTGTCCTCCGTTCCAGGGATTCTTACTACATGTAGATTCTGTCTCGAGGACAGGTCCTCTATACATCTCTCCTTTTCTTATTTTACTTTCTTTAACTTTTCCCTCCACATCCTGTGATAATTTATCTTGTTTTCTATTTGTCTTAGTTACTCTTCTCTCGTTGCTGGGACAAATACCTGACACTCAAACTGAAGGAAGGAAAGGTTTATTTAGCTCACAGTTACTGGAGGTTTCTTAGTTTAAAACAGCCTGAATCATGTAGCAAGACCTCGGAGCCTTAATCGCAGGTGGCCTCAATTGCAGACACCGCTGCCGTGCACTACAGGGTCTGAAGGAGAGGCTGGGGCACCCCCAGTCCAGGATGACTTGCTCTGCACCTCCCAGAGACCGCAGCCTGCGGGGCGGGTGGAGCGCATGCTGTCAGTTTAATTGTTCACGCCTCTGGTCCAGCCCCTTAAGCCCCGCCCTGATCCTCTGGCCACGCCCCTCAAGACACTTGCTGCTCCTCCAGCCCGGGCTGCCCATTACTTACATGAGCCTTTGGGTGGACAACTAGACACAAACCGTAACACTACTTACTTCAGGAATTTTCTTTTGTACTAACCCTTCTTAAAGTCTTCCTTTAAATGGAAGGCCACACTCTCTTGTATGTGGTCACACCACCTGCACTATAATTAAGCCCACACAGGTACTGAACTCTCTTATAAGATGCCCAATACTTTCTTAGAAAATTACTGTATACCAGTATCAAGAGGAGACATTTTTTTTGATCACTCAGTTCTAGTCTTTTCTTTAGAACTGTGGTCTTACAACCTTTCAATGGCTCTGCAATGGAGTCCAAAAACTCTGTTTTGCCAAGCACTAAAATTGAAGAACAACAAAAATAGCTCCCTTATGTCTTTTTATTTCAGACAAGATCTTGTAGGCTGCCCTCAGTGACAGAGGAAGGGAGGTTCTGGTTATAGGTAGCAGGAACTGATTGGTGGCAGACATTGTGGCAGTGTCATTGCCTGGGGAAACCAACACGAAATGAGTGACTATGCCAGTGGTGGTGAACCTGTGGTACACATGCCACAGTGGGATATTTGTTATTATCGAAAGCTCTAGAAGGTTCACCTTTACTGTCTATGTGTTTGAAGATAAGGCAGGAGACTCTCCTCACCCTACTCCCCAAAAGGCCTCCCGCTGTCCTCAGGAAGGAAGAGTGTCACTTTCACTTGAGTCCTCCTAAATACTTCCATGTCACTGGTTCTCATTCAACTACTTTTGGCAGAATATAGGAAGTGGCTTAGCAGTGTCCAGGCCAGGAGAGTGTTCACACACAGGCTTGGGTCATGGAAAGGTAGGGACACAATCTGAAAGATATCTCATTCACAGAGTGCATAGGCAAATGAAGATCTCCACACCCTCCCAATGAGACAATCTCCTGGGCCCACTGTTGACAGCAGCATCCCTTACTTGGCACAGGATGGTCCATATGCACTGTGTTTTGCTGCCCCTGCTTTCCAAACAATGTTCTGCTGCTGGCCAGTATCCCTAGGCTTTTCAGATGGTCCTGGAGAGGTTGGTGAGGAAAGAGGATGCTGGAGTTCTTCCTGGGGGAGAGACTTTAGGGATAGGATGAAAGGATGAGAAGAAAAACTGATAGGACTAAAGATGAGACAGGAGAAGAAAAGCAGCCTAAGAAAGAGAAAACAGGGCACTGACCACCTTGATAGTGTTTGAAAAATATGTATATAGGACATGGGGTGATTGAAACGCTTTGATCAGCTGACCTGTGTGTGCATTTAAGGTCACAGTGTTGTGGGACAGAATGAGGCAGATCTAGGCTTTCAGGCTTCACACAAGGAAGCAGGACTCTGTTGTCATTCCTTGGCCACTGTCCCAACATAGCACAAGTGGAAGCAGAACACAGGTGCAGCTGTTCATCAGGAGTTGTGTGCTCATGTTGCAGATCCCTAGTTGAGCTTAATACCTGAGACCTGGTAATACCTGAGACCTGGTAACACTTGGCCTGACCACAGCTATTCTAGGAAACTGCTGTCAAGCCTTTGATTCCCTTGAGCTAAGCTCTCTGATCTCATAAAGCCCCATATCTTCTGTTTAAAGCAAATAACACAACAGCAACAATATCACAGTCTCTGCTGACCCAAGGAGACACCACTGCAGCAGGAGGAAACGCACCACCACTCTCCAGTATCCACAGCACACTTCCAACGGCATCAGAAGTCCTCCCTGGGATAAGTGCCACAGGTTCCTCTCCAGGAAGCACAGGGCATGTGTCCCCGCCTACAACCGGAAGTCTCATTCCCGTCACCTCAGGCACCTCAGTAACAACAGCTCTAAATGGACTGTCAGCAGCACCAGCCTTCAGCACCTCATCCCAGGACACATCTCCATCTCCTCAGGGCCAGCAGGCTAAAGGTGTGGAGACCACCAGAGAATCTCAAGCCAGGAGCCTCACAGAAGTGACCTCGTCAGTTCCTCCGTCCTCCCCAAGTGGAAATGCTCTGATAGAGACAATCTCTCAAGAAGTATCCTCTCCATTGCAAGCCGCCACCTCATCTCCTTCCAAGGTCAGCAGCACACACTCCACGACATCAACAGTAGACACCAAGACAGACACCACTCTACTCTATTCCATTCTTCCGTTCCAGAACAATTCCCTGCCTATAACTACACGTGTCACTCCTGTCAGCACAGGAGTCTCAATGACAACTGTTTCAGGACAATCAACAGCACCCTCATCCAGTGACTTTCCTCAGAATCAACAGAGTCAAAGCATGGAGGCCACCAGAGAATCTCCAGTGTGCATCTGCACATCTGTGACCACAACAACCCTTTCATCTTCCCCACGTGGAAGCACTCTGGCAGTGACCCTCTCCCAGGAGCCATCTTCTCCAGGTGCATCAACCCTTTCCAGTGTCAGCAGCAGTACATCTTCAATGACATCAGTAGGGGTCACCGGGACAGCCTTCACAGACTCCACTCCAGGAAACACAAGGGACACATCCCTCCCTAAAACCAGAAGTCTCATGTCCATCACCTCAGGGCTCTTAGTAACAGCGGTATCATCCGGGTCCCCCAGTACTTCTGCGCAGGACACAGCCTCTTCTCCTCCCAACCAACCTACTCTGAGTACAGGTATCACTACAGAAGCACAAACCATCAAATCTGTGGATACAACTACCACTTCCTCACTCCCAACAAGGGGCACAAACAGTCCTAGAAGTGCTCTCCCAGGCCTGTCTACCTCTACCCCTGGCTCCTCCTCTACTTCCTTGACTGACAGCCACACATCTCAATCACCAACGGAATTGCCCATGGCTACCAATCCTGACAGTACCCAAGGGACGACAGTGACATCCGTTTTCATCCACAACACCTTTTCTCCCACCGTGTCTGATGTCTCAAAGACCGGCAGGCCCACTGATCTACCAACCTCAACTTCTCTCATTACCTCTTCTCAGGAAACATCAGCTATTTCTAAGATGGTGCAAAGTACAGGAACCACCAGAGGACCTGAAAACATCAGTTTCAGGACCACCAGTTTGGTCTCCTTGGTGACTGACACCCTCTCAACAGCCACAGTCCCACCTATGTCCACTCCGAGTGGGCATATATCTCCAGTAACCAATACCTCCCACATCCTGTCACCTTCAGGAACCACTAAAACCTTTCTCTCAACCCCAGTCAGTGACAGCCATAGAACCCAGAGAACAGTGCCAATTCTGTCATCATTGACAACTGAAGAGCCCCTTGTGATGGGTCCCACTACACAGAGTGATGTTGCTTCTCTTTCTCCTTCCTCAGTTTGGTCCACACGTAGAGAGGTTCTGACCCTAAGCCCAAGCTCAGTGGACCATGAGAACCAGAGTACCAGTGTCTCTCCTTCTGCAAGTTCTGACCACAACCCCTTGCCAAATACTTTCTCAGTGGGCACCTCAACCACATCCACCCATGAGTACCCTAAAATTGTTCAGACAACACAATCTACTACCAACCCCAGGACAAGTTCAACATACATGGGTTCAACAAGCAGTCATGGTGGCCCAGTTGGCTCTACCTCAGCTTTATCATTTTTACCTATAAACCACTCTTCAAGCAAGACCACTCTGGAAACTTCCTCACCATCTAAGCATTCTACTCTAAAGCCATCCACAGGCTTTTCTTCCTCTGGCTTTACTTCTACTGCTAAGATGGACACAAACCAGACCACACCAAGTTTCTATACATCAATCAGTAATTCTTCATTTTCTCAGCCAGCCAGTGCTCCTGCAGGAAGTTCCATCTGGAGTTCCACTCCCCTCCTCCCAGGTCACACCTCTGCCCTGTCTGTTACTAGCCCTTCCTCACCATCTACATCTTCCTCAGGCTTCTCAGAGAAGGCCGGAACCTCAGGTAGGTGGGGAACCTAGTGTCTCCATCTTGTATAGTGGTCTTGGCCTCCAGTGACCCTAGAGGAGTGTTGACAACTTCGTGAAGTGGCCTTGTGAGCCATGGCTGGGGTCAGGTTCTCAGAGGTTAAAGTTAGTTGGGTGTGGGAGTGACAAGCCCCCCATGCCCTTGGCCAGCAGAAAGCAGCTTCTGTGGAAGCTGGTTGGGTGTGACCAGTAGACAATCAAGAAAGCTTTGAGCTCTGTCTCCAGCTCCCAATGTCTTTGAATTTCTGACTGTTGTTTACTGGCTCTCTGAACCATTCCTGTTTTCTCTCCCTGTATGTCCAGGAGTGACCACAACCTCTCCGAGCACAGTGACCTCTTCGCTCTCCTCAGCCTCCCAAGCTCCTCTGGCCTCCACTCCCAGCACACTCCAGGGCTCAACCCTCACACCCCCCTTGGGTCCTCAGCTCGAGCCAGGTGAGTGTTGCCCTCCAGGTGAGAGCCCTCCCCCTGCAGATGTGGAGGATGTGGTTGTGGTAGCTGGACTGGCACTAGGTGCACACAGTGGAAAGCCCCTGACTCATGTGGAAACAGGTTCAAGGTAAGCAGGAGGCTTCCTGGCAAGAGTGAAGCAGAGCTGGGGGAGGGAGAGCTCCCAAGGAAGGAGGAGGCTGTGGTCAGCTGGAGTAAGGTATGCAAATGAGAACTGAGTCCTAGCATTGCAATGGAAGGAGGGCCTCAAAGAATTTGGGACTGTTAGAGGTAAGGTGAAGATTAGTGAGAAGGCTGGTGTGTGCAAGAATCATGTATGGGGAACTAGCAAGGACATAGATTTGTACTGTATGAATAGCGCGATGGTGGCTGGTGTGGACCAATTGCAGGGACCTTACTGAAGAAGCCCCAGGTGAGTTGTGTAGAGCCCGCTGTAGTTATCCAAATAAGACCACATGAGGATGTCAATGGGTCTGTGGTTACTGATATGGACAAAGGCCCACTGGACAAATTTAGGATAAGGTTTCTCTTACTGAAGCCTAAGCACCTCAGGGGTGGGGCTGAGGGGGGTTGGTGGTAGTCCTAGAACAAATTCTGTGGGGAGGGTGTCTTCAAGTTTATCTGGAGAAATACCATCTTAAGAAACAAGTTCCATTCCATGGAAAGGTCTTTCAAATACAACTCTTCACAGTATCAAAGTTTTGCCTTTAATCCTTATGAAGAATTATTTCTACTAACACAGAGGCAGGATCATGTGTCAGTATCCAGGCAGCAGGACTTGTTTTGCTCCAGACTGGGGAATGGTGAGAGGACCCATTGAGGGAGAAACTGAGGAGATAGGTTAAATACTGTGGAAAGGTGCAGGGATGGGACCTCCCAGTCATGGTGTCCTAGAACCCCTTGAGAAACAGAGGACAGGCATGAGAAACAATGTGGGGGAAGCCCTGTGGGGCCTCTTCTGAGCTTGAAAGAATGCCAAGGCCCACATGGACTTCATACTCTTCTCCCTCCTGGCTTAGGTGACTCTCTTTTCCCTTATGGGACAAGGAAAGGAGACCAGCACTTTGTTAAGAGGACTGTGGACTTTACTTCATGGCTCTTCAGGATCAAGATTGGCTTTCCCCTTGGCTCCTCTCTGTGGGATTCCTTCTATGTGAGTCTCCAATTGCAGCCTAAGTGGTAGGACCCTTGTTCTCTGGACCATGAGTCCCACAATAGACTTGGAACACTGTGCTCTCTGTTTTCCTCAGGGAGGGAATTTCTCTATCCAACTAGGAGACAGTCATGAGGAAAGGAGAATGGGCACCATCTTTGTTATACACCCTCTTTACTGTCAGGAGTCTAGCTGAGGAAAACGGAGCAAGGCAAAGATTCTTTTCTCATGTGGACAAAAATTTCCTTACCCAAGTAAAAAGAGATCAGAGTCCTGTCAGCTTACTGCTGTTTTCATAGTGCCTTTTCATGAGTAAGAAGATATACCTGGGAAGCATGACTTGGTGCCATTTCTATTTCTTAGGATTATGTCCTTGTTCTCTGGACCATCAGTCTCACAAGAGACTCATGGAATTCCCAGAGACTTGGAACACTGTGGTCTCTGTTTCCTTCAGGGAGGGAACTTAGCACACACCCAGTGAAAGGGCAACACTACAATGGGCCTGAGGATGTCAATTCTTTTAGCCCCATTGATTGGGTCATAAGCTTCAGAATGAGGCTAAGGGGCTTCATTCCTCTGTGAAAAGTTGGACCACAGCCAGAAGGCCTATCACTGAGGCAGAACATCACTGGTGCCTTCAGAAATGAGGAACACCCTCAGGAGGAAGAGTGTGTGTGAGGTCGCTGTGTGAAGGGCTCTCCCAGAAGAAAGGACATAGATGGGGTGATCTTTCAGGCATCTTGACATCTCTGACTTTCTTCTCAGACAGGTCTTTGGGGGAGTCACTTCAGGGGAGGCTGGCCCAAGGCTGAGACATCTCATCTCCTCCCTCCCTGAGTACTAACCAAGAACCCGGGTGCTCAGTTCACAGATAATGGCCAGATCATTTTCCCAGAGTCAGACAACCAGATGTTCTCCTATCCCAACCCACCCACAGGAGGGTTCACCAGCTGGGCCACTGTGGCCACTGTGGCTCCATTCTGGGCTGACGCTGATTTCTCTGGCAGCAGTGGGACCATCTTTTACCAGGTGGGCCTCTCAAAGTCCAGGTACTCAGCAGCCTGCCAGAGAAGACAAACAGCTGTGTGGAGGATCCAGGGTGCTCCTTCTGTCCTGGCCTGAGCTCTGTGAGCAGGGACTGGAGCTGCACTATAGTGACTGGGAGGAGGAACGTTGGCACCCTACCTTGACCATGTGCAGATCTGAGGTGTCAGGGATAAGGGTTAGAAATTCAGTGTTAGGTTTTAAAATAAGGCTGCAGAGGGTCAGCTCCACAGAATCAAGCAGGGTTCAGGCTGTGCTCCTGGACTGGTTCATAATCCCAGCCGGTGGATACAGGTAATGAAGGCCATTGTAGCAGATGTGTATGTACCACAGTCATAGGCAAGGCACTGCACAAGCTCTGAAGATAGAGGGACACATACCTGCCCTCAGGGAGCCACCAGATGATGTAAGAAGACAGGAGTAGTCATGCTGGTCATGCCATCTGGCCCTCTTGGAGCTAAGAGATACATGAGTTCAAGTCCATGGAACTTGGGTTTGCAGGCTAAGGGACCACCACCCATTCCACCACATCTGGGATTTCCTGTAGCCAGAGTTTGAATGGACCTTAAGGTCAGAAGAGGCCTAATACAGAGAAATGTGGTGGCATGAGGGCATCAAAGTAAACAGGTTCCCAAGCAGAAAGTGGGGGTCCCTCCCTGTTGAGAACCCTTACTTCCTTCCTCTTGTCTGCCTTCTTTTTCTAGGAATATGAGACACTCTACAATGAAGACAATCCACTAGTCCGGCAGGTGGAATCTAGGATTAAAAAGTTTACAAATTACTGGAGCTACAAAGCCAAGTGGACCCTAAAGGTCACATGGGTCAATGTCTCTGCCTACCCTGTTCAGCAGACCTCTGGGGTGAGTGTACCACAGACAGCTTCCCACACACTGTCGAGAAGTAAGACAAGGCAGAGTACTAGCTACAGGTGGCTGCTCTGCTAACCCGCCCCCCCCAGAGTAGGACAGTGCCGTGGTGACCCATTATGCTGAGCATGCGCAGTGGCCCAGGCCTGCCTCAGCCCGAATCTACCTGACCACACAGCAGCCCGGTGAACGCGGAGCAGGACATGGCTTTGTGATGCAGTCTGTCTGCTGGTGACTTCATACTGCTTATATTAGTCAGCTTTTTGTTACCATGAAAAAAGTACCTAAAACCAGCTACTTGCTGAAAAGAGAGGTTTACATAGCCCACGGAGGGAGGACATCTAAACAGCATGGCTTGGCAAGGACACATTACATGAGAATTCACAATGTCCCCAACAATCTAAGGACACCCCAGGTTCTGCCTCTTACATGCTCGCTACTCTCAGCACCACCAAGTAGGGACCACACCTTCAGATAAGTAAACCTTGCAGGGGACACAGTTACATCCTGTCCCATCTGTAGCTGGGTCAACCGATATTGTCATCCACCTGTTAGACAGGAGGTAAGATGGCCACAGAGGTAAAATCTGCTCCAACTTACTCAGCTAGCAAATGACCAAGTCAAGCCTGAGACCAAGGTTTTCCTGACCGTACACTCTGGCTCCTACACAACCTCTGGAGACTGTAAGTGCTCCTCTTACCTACTCTGGACAAGGCATGTGTCTTGGGGGCACTGTCAGCTCACTTCTGAAGGTCCCCCACACCATCCATGTCCTTAAATATCCCTGAGGGAGCTGGCAAATCCTCTCCTAGTTCTGGTGCCTTAGTTGATGGCTCGGTTCCTAAACTTTCCATTCCAAACCCTCTTCTAATTGCAGCCCATAGCCCTTTCTTTACTCTTCCTGGAAATAGCCACAAACAAGGTAGATCCAACATGGTAGGGGCTTCAGCACTCCCCACAGGTGCTGCCTGCCCCACTGTAGACTTGCCAGCCTTTCCAGCCCAAGCCTGTGTTCAGGCTAGGCCTGGAACAGGTGAGGTGTGTGGTGGCAGTTCTGTGGGTCAGGTGGGTAGGCATCAGAGAGGAGACCCCAAGTATTTCAAGGGCACCCCCATGTTTGTGTCCCCCCCCCCCAGACCAACACCTACCAAGCCATCCTCTCCACGGACGGCAGCAGATCCTATGCCCTATTTCTGTACCAGAGCACTGGGATGCAGTGGGACGTGGCTCAGCAGCAGGGCAACCCTGTCCTCATGGGCTTCTCCAGGTAGGGTGGGTACAGCAGGCGCTCTGAGTGGGTGACGGGGAGGTGCAGTTTGCTGATCTCACTCCCATCCTGAAACAAGGGTGACCATTCGCCACTAAGCCCACTTCCCACAGAACCTCTCATTTTTTGTTTCCAAGATTTGTCTGTCTTCCCCACCCTAGTCCCTGGGTGTTGTAGTAATTCCGACTTCCTGGTTTCCATTGACAATGTTGGCTTCCCCAAAACCATAACAGCCAACATTTATTATGCTAAGAACTTCATGTACATTCTTTCATTGATTATCACAAACAGCCAGTAAGACAGATACTCTTTATGAGACACAAATAGGTTAGGAACTTTCCCAGAGTTAGAAAGTGTGAAATTGGGGATCTGAACCCAGACACCTGAGGCTCAGATCTGCCTCCCTGATTCCTGGGAATTACCCACAAAGCAGGGACACTGGCCACCTGGCTGGTGCCTGAGAGAGAGAAAGGAGGGGGCCGTGGATGGTTGCAAGTGGCTTCCCAGGTACAAAGCAGCCCGGTCTTTGCCACAGGCTGGTACATGACAATCACCATGAAAGTCACATGTTATTTGTTCTGGGTAATGGTTACAAAGGCTTTTTTCTTCTATTAGGGTGGGTTCAGGTTGCCCTAGAGTTACATTGCTTTCATCTGTGGTCTGGCAGTGCATTGTGTCAAGTCCCCACTTGGCTCTGCAGGCCTTGTAAATGTCCCTGTGCCAGATCCTCACCATGCTGAGAGGTAGATCCTACTGAAATCAAATCCCTCTTTAGCCTTCTTACTTAGAAAAGTAGGTAACTTGCTTGTGGTCCCTGAGTTAGCAGGTGGGCCATGGCTAACCCCAGGGACCAGTTCTGTGCTGTCTCCTTCCCATCCCTAGTTTAAGGAAAACAGGCAGGAAAGAGGTCTCAAGTCAGTTCCACACCTGTGTCCTGACCAAGGGGACGTGCTGGGCTCTTGCTGCCAGTGATGGGATGGGGAATTAGGCAGGCCCTTGCTGCTGACTAACCAGCTTGCCACAGCACCTGAGTCTTCTCTGCCCGCAGTGGAGACGGCTACTTTGAGGACAGCCCACTGATGTCCAGGCCACTGAGGGAGAGGTATCGTCCAGACCAGTTCCTGGATCCCAAATTAGGTAAAAGCACCACTGTGCCACCCTTGCTGCCTCAGTCTTCTCTGGTGCCCCGGGCTGTACATTGTGGCAGGCTGAGGCAGCTGGTCCCTGACTCACCCATCCCAAGTGTGTCCCCATGCAGTCTGAGGCCAACACAAAAGCTCAGACCACTGGCCAGGAGCAGCCAGCTCAGCCCGCACCCTTAACCACAGCACAATCACCCTCCATGAAGTAACCCAGCAGGTTTCAGTGCAGGTCCAGGTCTTAGGAGAGAGGATAGGATAAAGTACACTGAGTGTCCTGTCCAAGCCCTACTGAGACCTGGAAGAGACTGTTCTAAGAGGGGCTCCAGGAGCCTGACATCTAAGCAGTCACCTCGACGGAGCACTTGCTGTGTTCTAGACATTGTGCTACCAATGTGTGTAAAAGAAGAAAAAAGGAAAAATACTAACATGTTTTCTCTTAGAGAGCCTGGAGCCTAAAAACAGACTTCAGTATCTGGAGGCAAACTGTGGTATTGCCTATGACTTGCCATGGTGTACGGAATCTGCAAAGAGAAAACAATCAGTTTCCAAAACACAACAGAGCAAAAGATGTCCGGGCACAGGAGCTGGGCCTGTGTGTGCCACAGAGTAAATCTAGCTCTGCTCTGGAAACCTAAGCTGAGTCAAGCCATGCTGCTCAGGGAGGGGCTGGCCTGTCACCTGAGGGCCCTTCTGTCCAGATGCATCTGCTGGGGACTTGGGGATGCTTCTCCGGTGTGTGTGTGTGTGTGTGTGTGTTACACACACGTCACCATGACTAATGAATAATCATCTCAAAATCTTAACAAGCTGCAATTCTCTGGACTGATTCTGCATTTGGGTGGGTGCAGTTCTATCCTGTCTTTTGTGGCCAGCCCTGACTTCAGGGGATTAAAGGCCTGTGGGTGCCTGGGTCCAGAGGTTGCCTCCTTAGCCTTGTGGGGTTGGAGTAGGCCCTGCTTCGCATCCCAACTGCTCGGCAGCCTCCTGGCATCCACCATCTCCTGTGCCTTGGCCACTGGGGCATCTGTGCTGGGGGAGGGTCTACTGGCATGGCCAGTAAGTGGTGGTGTCCCAGGCTGAGATACAGGGTCTGGCAACAGGAATCTGGTCATGGAGGAATGTGGTGTTGGCTTGGAGAGAGGATGGAGGAGCGGTGGTTTGGCCATGCCAGAGTTTGGCTTGCTCCGGATCTGGGAGAAGCTTCCGTGCTCAGCTCTGGCACCAGGGTTTTGCCCCAACATCCACCACATAAGGGCTTGGAGTTCAGGCCCGAGGGCTTGGGGAAGAATCACCGTGGGCCCGAATTGGGCCCCTCCAGGAAGAGCTGTCCAGAGGTGGGGGAGCTGTGCAGGGCACATCCTTGGGTTCTGGGGACCCGAAGCCTTGGGTTAAGCCCTGCTCCCCTTTCTTTACAGGCATCCGGGGGCTTCAGATTTACAGGTTGCACAGGGAGGTGAAGCCCAACTTCCGCCTCAGGTGCCTGCAGCGACTGAGCAGCATGCAGCCCCGCTGGACCCTGAGCCCGATCTTCTGTCCTTGCTCCTGGCAACAGGGGAGATGGGATTTGCGGTTCCAGCCCATGGGCACAGGTGACATCTTCAAGCCCACCCACCATCCCCTCTGCCTAGGTGCCTTTCCCAGCTGCTGCTCCCCACCCCAGGGACACCCCCAGCCCACCTTCTGTACCTGTCTCTCTAGCTTATCCCACCCTCCATGGTGCCCCTGCCCAGGCTGAGCTTGTGTGGCCTCCTTGCAGGCAGGCGGAGTCCCCACAGCCAGCACTTGCTGTGCAGCTTCTCTTCCTGGCGCGGTGGTGTGTGCTGCAGCTACGGGCCCTGGGGGGAGTTTCGGGAAGGCTGGAGCGTGCAGAGCCCGGAGCTGCTCGGTAAGTCCAAAGAGTTTGGCACCAGTCTCTGTCTCTGTCTCTCTGTCTCTGTCTTTGTCTCTCTGTCTCTGTCTCTGTCTCTGTCTCTCTCTGTGTCTCTGTCTCTGTCTCTCTGTCTCTGTC